TATATGTTTATTGGTTGGTGCAGTTGAACACTGTTCGCTTAGTGACGAGAAAAAAGTTGTTTAAAAGGATCAGGAAAAGAGGGAAATGCATCGCTGGTAGACGTGGAGAAATATTATTCATCGCTCAGACGCCTTTTGGTTTGGGTTTTCGCTTGAGAAACTGTTTTGGCATATCAGCGTGGAGGGAACAGAAGAATAATCGAATATGTGAAATTTCGACGACGGCTACATTCGATGAAACTAAATTTCAAAAGAGATGAACCGATTCACAATAAAGAATTATGCACTGACTGAAAGCATTCCCAGTTACTCCACACTGATTATTCCAGCATATAAATTTCAAGGAGAGTAGTTACTTTGTCGAAGCTGCCCTATGGCTGCAGTATGATATAATAAAACTTCATCGTTTGCATGTAAATACTACCTATGAATAATAGCGTTGTCTAGTGTATAAACAACGTCTAATGGTGCCAATGAATGAGTTATTCATATTCAGCGATATGAATCGCAACGGTGGTACGGTGCGACGTGTTCGACGAAGCAAACGCACCATCAACACGAGCTCATCGCAGAATCACAAACAAGACTTATTGAGCAATGAAGAACGTTTGTATGGTGATCAGAAAGCGATTCTGATAACGCAAAATGAAGTGAACGAAAGTTTGAGCATATATCGCGCTGAGGTCGATACAGCAACACATGAAATCAACGTTACGACGAGACATCTTACGATAACCGGTCTGAGACATTACACGCAATATCAAATTTGGGTTCGTTGTCTTGTCTCTAATTTTGTCACTTTCAACAGGATTTTTTTTTGATTCATTATATAGAGTCTTCTCCGTTAGAAATTCGTTTTTTGTTGTTTGATTGTTCATGAAGGTTGAAAGGAATTTTCCTTCTTTTGTTATTTGATCGGTTTGAGTTACTGACACTATCGATTTGAAGAAGGACCTTTTTCGAATGGAAGTAGTCTGTTCTGTCGGCTGCTTTCAAACATCTCAATAGCATTTTCGTTATGATTTGCTGAATTTGGAAGGTGTAAACTAGTTTATGGTTATTTTCGTTCATTCTTCCAGATTCGCGCCTGTCAGAATGTTTCTGCTCCAGGTGGTTATCATTGTTCGCAGCGTCCCGGCTATTTAGTTGTACAAACCGCTCCAATTCGTATGTGTCGTTGCATCATTTTTAGTTTCTTTTTTTTNTTTTTTTTCACATTCAAACAGGAATTAACAAACGAAATTCGGATTTCTACATCATTCAAAGTGCTCATTATAGGAATTTACATCAAAGTGACCATTATAGGAATTTCTGTCTGAAAGGTTGATGAGTCGTTGCATCAAAAAGTGAAATATTTGAAGAGATTGTTTGTATTTAAGCTGAGAATGATCTGGTCGACAACAGTACAATCGAAGTGATCAATACAACGTCACCGACTTCTGATCAACGATCACGAAAAATCACGTGGATTGAACCGTCAAATCCGAACGGTGCTATACTCGCATATAAAGTGAAAGTAATTGCTGAAGATCGTGAACAGGTATTATCGTTCACGATTCGTTCATGTCTTGTACAGATTTCTTATCCGCTTAGGGACGTTTATTTGTGAGTACATCATTGTTATCATTATTCGCAAAGCTTTTTAAATGAAATAAATAAAGTGCCGATTGTTCAGACACCAGTAACGCAATGCGTGAAAGCATCAGATTTTCGACATCAAGGCGGTGTGACGTTCCATGGTTTGTCGGATGGTATTTACCGTGTTGAAGTACGTACGATTACACTGGCATCGCTCGCGTTAGCTTCCACTGATGAAGTGGCCGTCTCAAGATCGCTCTTTTCTGTCTTCACAAAACCATTTTTCACTAAATGGGTCAGTCCGTTCACTGTTGTTGGTTTGGTGTTATTGTATATTTACTGCAGCAGTTGTCTTTTTGGGAGAACATATCACTTTTGGAGTGTTATCAAATAGGTGTCAATCAAATACTCCAATATTGAGTTACACGCAAAATTCAGAGACGATTCAATTCACGGAGATTTTTATTTTTTGCTTCCTTATTCCAGTATTCTTCTTTACAGGTGATAAGTTTGATTTTCCTCATAATATTCCTCGTCTTGACGATTGGATCACTCATCGCGTATTATTTCTTGAAGAAAGTATTTGGCAAAAAGGTTGGTTGCTCGATGTATTTTGATTCGTTATTATTCAGCAATAATGAATGTTTCTGTTCGAATTTGATTGTTTGTTTATTGGTTAGGTTCAATTTGATCAAAACCGCTTGTATGATCCTCGTTGATTAACTGTGCGCACGTTAAGGTACAAGAATATGCACGTCAACAAATCTCGGCAAATCCAGAATATTTGAGTCAGATGGATGTGTATACGGCAGATGAGTGGGAATTGAAACGTAGTGATATCCACTTGGAAGAGGAAATTGGTCGTGGCACTTTCGGAAAGGTTATTACATTAGTTATTACATTGTGGTGATGCGTTAAGATAGTGATAACAGCGTTAATATAAATTGAATTAAAGGTGTACCGTGGATATGCGAACGATGTGGTGTCGAAGGGTGGTGTGCGCTTCGGGGAGTGTGCCGTGAAGACGGTTGCCGAGTCAGCGAACAGTGCTGAGAGACTGCATTTCTTGGTGGAGGCGAGTGTGATGAAGCAGTTCCACACGTCGTTCATCGTTAAACTTTATGGTGTTGTCTCGGATGGACAGCCGGTGCTTGTCGTTATGGAACTTATGAGAAAGGTTATATTCTCATATGCATTCTTCTTGCAGTGCTGGTCAATACTGCTCTTACAATATAGCTTGGATTACTGCTGCTTTTCTATGGCCGTTTTGAAATTATTATTATTGTTATTATTATTATTATTATTATTATTATGTGTAGTCATATCAATTTCGAAATAATTGAAAGATTGAATTGTGTTAGGGCAATCTACGTGATTATTTGCGTTCACGTCGGCCAGGTGGAGAAGATAATGTAGACAACTCACCAATACCGACCAATCTCGAATATATCCGTTGGGCTGCGCAAATTGCCGATGGAATGGCGTACTTAGAGTCAATTAAGTTCTGTCATCGTGATCTGGCAGCTAGAAATTGTATGGTAAGTGTTGTGGAATTACAGTTGTGCTTTTTGGCTAGTGAATAATGAATGATAGCAATACTTTGCGCATTGTCAGTAACGTTCTTAAGATTAATCGTAATGATATAATTCCCTTGTGTATGTTGATTGATTATAATCAGTTGACGTTTGCAGGTGTCAGCCGATGATACAGTGAAAATCGGTGATTTTGGTATGGCTCGAGATATATACTATCACGAGTATTATAAACCAACTGGTATTCGCTTGTTTCATTTGGATTTTATTTCGAAACAGTTCATTCGTTTTATTGGTGACCATTTATCGGAGACTGAAATGCATTTCTCTTTAGTGTTGTTTCATTTGAATGTCTTTCATTTTATATTGCTTACTCTCATTAGTCATTATCTCGCATCAATTCAATTCATTATTATTCGTCATACCATTCTAGGTAAACGCCTAATGCCGGTTCGTTGGATGGCACCAGAATCACTGAAGGATGGTAAATTCACGATGAAATCTGATGTTTGGTGAGAGTTGACTGCATTGACTGCTTAAAAGAGATTAGCGCTCAAATCACATTACGAATATCGATGAGTCGATTAAGCTTCTTCAAAAGATTACATTTCGTGTGAATTGAGTGGTGAAGGGAGTAAAAATAATAAACATTAAGAAAATATTCATTCTAGTGTGAACCAATCGAATAAGCTTAAATAATGCGATTCGAACGGATGAATCGATACTTATCAGTTATGTTCACAATCGATTACGTTCGATGCTGATCAATTACAGGTCGTATGGTATTGTTTTGTATGAAATGTTAACGTTGGCACAACAGCCATATTCGGGTATAGGCAATGAAGAGGTGTTTAATTATATTGGTGTATCGAGACGAATCCTTACACGCCCGACGGGTTGTCCTGATTTTTGGTATTATCTTTACTGTTATCTTTCTTCTTGGTCTCTTTTTCTAAAAGTTGCCATTTCATTTGATATATATATATATATATATATATATATATATATATCGTTAAAAGCTCTGTTTTGATATAGTTTTGTTTCGAAGGGTTGATAAATATTTCACGTGGACTGAAAGAGATACTGAAACGTTGAAGAGAATTTAAGTGATTTATATATTTACATAATCAATTGTTCATCTTCAAGTGGAGTATTACTTTTGGTGGTATACGATAGGGAAAGGATAGAGAGGTGTGGCTGGTTGAATAGAGGGATCTGCCTTTTTTCTATCTGCATCTGTACTTACATTCGCAATAAAGACAGAAAATCGAATGTCATTAAAAAAGTGCTCACAACATGAAAATTTTAGGCACTTTTTATTAGTTGTGATAAATTATTGAACGTTTAGGTATGATCTTATGGTACAGTGTTGGAAATACGATCCTCGCGATAGACCAGATTTTGCGCAGATTGTCGCAAAACTTCTTCCGTACACAGACGTTGATTTTGTTAACGTACGTTGCCCTTTAGCTCATTACTGTTTTAATTTTACCAGTATAAATAGGTTGCTTTTGCATGATTGGTTTTGAGTTTGTATGAGTTTAATTTAGGCATCGTTTGTGGCGTCAACAGCTGGCAGTGCAGTAGGTGACGAATCTGTAGTGGATGAGGTATTTCAACCGAAAGAGGTTTATCCACATGCCAATGATGAATCCGAATTAGTGATGAACGAGGATGTTATTCCGAGTGATTCTGATGAGGTTCGTTCGATTCTCATTCATTTGAAGGCGGCCGCTGCTAACCGCCAGCAACAACTATCATTTATCACTCATCGAAATGACATTTAATTCATTGAAGAGGCCGATATGTAACTGGAACCGTCGAACAGCAGGTGGTGGATTCCGTAGAGGTGCTGCATCGGAAGGGGCGCGTTCTGTTGATCACGATCTCAAGATGAGGGTTACGAATACATTAGCAGGAACTGCAACGGAAAACGAAGAAGATGAATTGTAATCGGTCAATTGCATTATCCTCACTCACTCTTCCTCTGTGTCAATTAACACTCTTCATCTCATTATAATTTTATTTCGTAAGTTGATTCAGATTGAAGCAATGCTTTTACGGTTCATCTTATCTTACCTGTGTCCACTAGATATGCACACGTTGTTACATCTTTTTTTTGTTTGTTAGATTTCTACAGTCAAATTGTTCTTCACATCGTCAATATGATTAAGAAGATGTTTCTTAGTTGAACAGAGGTGTTTGCGTTTGAAATACTTACATTCAATGGTTTTATTTACGGCTTTAACAGTGAATGAGAATAGTAAGTGAACTGTGCGAAATGAGCATTATTAGAATCATAAAAATATGTCAAACAATAGAAAAAGCATTAGAAAAAAGTGATCTGCTGAATTCATTGGATATAAGTAGGATTAATATGGCATTTGTTGATGGTGACAGTCGAAGTGAAGAAGATGTGTGTCTATATTGTTCAAGAACGTTTGTTTATTGTGGCAATTAACAAGTTGGGTGATACGAGAAGTATCCGTTGTGAATAGAAAGTATTGTATAGAGCGGATGGATTTGTTGTATTGTGTTGTACGAATGTATAGTTTATAGCAGCGACGAAATATCACCACATACATTAAAATACCTTTATAAAGGACTTGCTCCAAATCATTTCGAATCTGCATCGTGGATATGTGTACTGTTTGACTGTCGTTTATTAATTCGCTTTATTTTCGATGATTTTGTCCAAATTTTTTATTTCTATTTGTTTGTCCATTTTGTTTTGTTTCATCTATAGTGCTGTTATTATTGTTTGTATCACTATTATTATTATAGTTATTATTATTACTGTCGTTATTTTTGCGTTATTATGATCACTAGATTGTTTCTGTTATATTTGATAGTGTATTATTTTCGGGTCATTAAATTGCACATAATATAATTGTGTGCTGTTGAGGCTTTGATTCATTTCGAAGAGCATCGATCACCGTCCTCATTCCCTAACACTTAATTTCACATTAAAATGCATCGCAGCATTTATTTATTCGTTTTAAAGAAAACACTTTTGCTTTTAATGTAATAATCGTTCAGAGTTGTTGAATGTCTGCAGTGAACTTCTAAAATATTCATTTGAAGGGATGAATAGTGCATCGAAGTGAAATGAAATGAATTAAAGTCTGCTGAATGCCGATCGATCACGTCTCGTCTAACTTGGTGTTATATTCTATTCCTTTCATTCTGTGCAAAATGCGATTGAATCCGTAATTTGTTGTTGTTAGTTTGTTTGTTTTGATTTTGTTGTTGTTCTCTTTCTATAATAATGCACACGTCCCAATAACACTTCTGAAAAGATTTATTGTCGATAGTATTCATTCTTTTATTGTATTTTTCGTTTTCATTAATTTCTGTCTGAATTACTTTCAGCACATTACTGATGATAGTAATAATTACATCAACGATAATTGCATCAATTTTAATTGTGAAACGCTTTTGTTCAGTATGATTCATGAATTTTGTATTATTTACTGTTTAGTTGCAAATTAGTTTTTGTGCATTGAAAACAAAAAACAGCAGTGNAGGAAAATTCTTGAGAAGATTGACATGCCTTACCTTTTCGTACGGAAAAATTTCCATATGATTAGGTAACGCATATCAATCTTCTCAAGAATTATCAGTTATCAAGAATTATCAAAAGGTAACGCATATCAATCAGATAAGAAAAAATACCAGTCGATAATTAACGACGGTATTACTGAACGCGGTTCTGTGATGTCTCGGCTGTGTGAATGGTGTGTATCGGTGTCTTCTCTCTGAAGTCATGTAGTTTCGATTTTAACGTATTATCGTTGCTGTGGATAATCTCTTATTGTATCCTCAAATTTCAGTTATTCTCTTCAAAAACCGAGTGAAAATTTATTTTCGTTTCATCTAAATATTCATCGCAGAAATCGAATATTGTTATTATCTAAACCATCATTGTTATTATCGATATATGTGTATATATATGTACTTGATTAATATTTTGCTATTCCAGCACGTGTATTTATAATATTTCTTTTTTGCGTAGTGTGTTAATAATATCAAGAATCAAAATGTGTTCGAGTCTCACAATGTGATTGTTGATTTACAATAATTGTGTTCGATTACCATCGTTAATCATCCGTTTCATAATCATTATTATAATTATTACCATCATTTGATCATATTATAAAAACGTTCATTTTGCAAAATCTACTTATTATGCATATATTCACTTATTTTCACGACCCAAAAAACTGCACACATCACAAATATTCTATCGTATTGCTGACTAGTTACTGGTGAAACCACAACTGCAGTTTAACGAACGATTTCGTTTGCAGTTCTCAGTAGTGTGTCATCTGTGTCAATTTTAGCAGTGTTAATTTCATTAGCAGTGTCAAATTTCTGTCTCATTTCGTTCGTTCGAAGTTTTCAGCATCTGATCGAGCACTCAACCCATAGTTAACTGGTAATTTAATGATTTTTGCCGTTTTCATGTTCAACAGCTTCTCCGGATTCTTAAATGTACAGTTATGCGTATTTATTTCACTGAAGAAACTATCCGTTTTCCGTGAACAAAAACTGTCCGTTCATTGAGTTGCTGTGAACGTTTAAGAATCACTGTATGGTATTAATTAAGATTAGGCAGATTAATAAGATTAATGGAGCAAAAAATAGCGATTTCAAGCAAATCGGTAACCCAATGAGTTCTTGACACACCTTCCTTGCGAAAATTCTACAGCTTCCGAAGCACATATTTTAAACTGAGTGAATGTTTTCAGTTGGTTTAAGAAACTGCGTTTGCATTCCAAAAGGGCTACGATACTGCTGTACACAGTTGTCGTTTTATGCATACCGACGGCACTAACTTCGATTTTACATTCGTTACGAGGAAACTAACGAATTCTTTCTCACAGGCTAAGTGAATGCTCGATTCATCTGTCCACATCAACAACTCTGAACAAAGCTCAAACACCATCACACTTTGAACTGAACGCTAACGATAATCAGACAGGAACTGAGAAGTTTATTGAATGAAACGAAGCACATGAATGAATGAATATACATTAGTATGAATATTATAACAACAAATGCAATTCGTTGACACATCATATTGAATCAAAGTGCACTAAATTACTGAAATAACACTCGAAACAAATTCATAACGATACCAAATGTTACACAATCTCAGTTCAGTAAGAAAGAGTGACTGTGATGTTANATAATGATAATATCAATAGTGGTAATAAATACGCAACTGATTCTTCATAACAAAAAATGCGACAAAGTGATCAGATTGATCAAATCGTTAAGCTGCAAATGACACTCATACAGCTGCAGCTGACGCATTGCGTCGAAATGTTCTGCAAAATCACTTTGCTGCGCATTAGTTGGGTCACTCAAGGTACCATTATCAATACTCCTACTTCTATTCTTATTCTTATTATTACTACCATTAAATAGCGAAAGTAACAGCGTGCTGCTAATTGAATACCATTAAAACGCAATTATTAAACATCAATTGTAAGAGTACATTACTGAGAACACTATCCTAGAAAAAAGCACACCAGCAATTTCGTAATAGCGCAGTAATGTCGTGCAAAACGAAGCAATAATTTGAAAATGTCGAAAAACAAGATGCGACCTACATATACATATATGCGAAAATATGGATGATGGCTTATTTGATTGAATAATCTCGAATTCGAAAATTTCACACAAAATGATGTAAAACAAAAACAAAATACAAAAAGAATTCATATAAGCAAACATAAAAAACTCCAACAAACAAAAGAAAACGAACGAATGCAAAACCAGAACGACATCCTCGTAACATTAAAAAATCTACCATTTGGAACAAAAACCTTATATGGGATTTTGTCTTTTCGCTTAATCAATAATATTAATGCGTTCAACAGTGCAAAATCATCGAAGGAAATCTTTTCTAAATAATCAGACAGAAAAGAACTTTTAAAATAGAGTTGGCCAATACGACAAAAAATTATTTGAATAAAAAATAAGGTTTTTCTTAAGAACGCAGATATATGTACAATGCGAGCGAACGCTTCATACGGAGCAGTTTATTAGGAAGACGAATTGAATGGTGAACTAATAAATGATCGATGATGGTCATGCAGACGAAAACAATGCGACAGAAACAATAATACTCACGAAATTCGTACGATGATGCACAAATGTTGCATGGACACTATGCAATGTAACCACTTTTAACGTACTACGACAACCATCAAAACTGCTACTTTGGCACGAGTTAATCTAAACACAAACTTGAGCTTAGGTCCCGCTGGGATGTCCAATTTTTCCCATAAGCCAAACTTAGGCCTAAGCTTCGGTTGCGTTGCAATACCTAATGTCTAGCAACCATAATGAATTTCAACTGACCGAAATCTCTCATGAATACTGCATCATTAATCTTTAATTACCACTTCAAAATGCGCGAAATTTTTAACGTTCAACTAACGCTCATAATCAACGCATAACCTTCACAAAATAACACAACAAACGTCGCAATTTCCGCAATGAAAAATCATGGAAAATCTTTTTGTGAAGAAAAAAGTAAAAACGAATAGAAAATTAACAATTTAAAAATGCAAAGAATGCCAAAATATAACTGAACAAATGGGGTTAAATAGTGAAAAACAAACAATCTCATTGTCAGTGCAACAACAATTACATGATGACACATAAAATATGCATAAATCAGCATTCGTCAAGAAATTCAGATAAAAACTGATTAAAAACACGAGAAAGGAGTTGATTAAATGACACTGAATTGGTGATATCAGAAGAGGTGAACTATCTATTGGACTCAATCATATCTAAGATTTCATCAACGATTTGCTCTTAGCAATTATCTAACAAATCATCCTTATTGACTGCAACGTTGCAAATTAATGACTGTCTATCGGAAACATTTAATGACTATTGCAAAACACTACGAATCTTCCTAACAAACTTGCCATGAGTACAATACGGAAGACTGTTTTACATAATTTCATAGACAATTTCGACTGGAAACTTCATAAAAAGAAATTGTAGAAAAACGAATAGTAATGGCGATGTTGACGAAAACAATGCGGGAACAAGGTATTTGTGTAGACTTCTGCTGATTGTGAGAGAGGTTGTAGATAAACGACGAATAAAGAGATCACGCGATGCACAATACAAACTGCTATTCATTTTTTGTCTTCTTCATTGGAGGCTCTCCACCACTCACCGATGGAAGACTCTGAAAATCGAGTTTATTACGGACTCAACCCGAAGTTCCAATTAAAATTCATGAAAATACAAATAACTGGAAAATTGGCGATAACATTAAACAACTAAATGCAATCAGTTAATCACGATTAATCTCGCAACCACACTATTGATAGTCATCGTCAATAATTTTAGTACTGTATTGTTGAATGCAAAACTAGATCTGTAAAGCTGTTAAATGAAAAAGCAGTGAGTATCCGATTAATTTGAAGCAATGAAACGGTTAGTATTTAGGGTTAATGTTTCATTAATGGAAACACGACTTCAGCGGATCCAACCATCACCAGAAACGTTGACCAAAAAGAAAGCACCCAACAAAATGAACATTCTACGTCAGAACCATAAAACTGTCATTGCAATAGCGTAAATTAATCCGACAGATGAGCTCTGCTTTCTAACCAATCAAAACTAATCAAATAGTAAAACAAGCAAAAACGATGATGAAAAAGTGTGAAAATACATTTTGCTTTAATGAACGATGTTAGTTTAGGCATTACATTAGGATTGAGGCGATGCATTGTTCTGTGGTAAACCATATGCGGACGACATCTGTAAGCAAAATTGTCGTTTGCCGATATAAGTTACGTGATTGAAAAATTGAAAATGTCATTAATTTAACGATCAGAATACGATATCAATAAGCAATAAGCACCACGGATAAACAAATCTATACAAGCGTTCCATTCATGAATGGAACATGTGTATGTAAACCACACTAGCATTCTTCGATAACTAAGAAACAACAACAGCTTCTTTTCTTTAATAAATGAACTCGCAGCTCTTGTCCCTAAAACTTTCATTGCTGTGACTTTTATTGCTCACATCACTATTACTATTATTACCATGGCAATACGCAAGTCAACCTTTATGGTTATGCATAAATATGAACAAACAAAATGAGTAATGCGCGAACTGATTAATTCGATTCCCATTATCAGGCAACTAATGTTTCCGTAGGTTAATTAACCCAATAAAGCATGCAAATTAAAAAAGCGAAAGCGACAGCTAGGATTGGAAAGCTGTTTGCCGAAACAATCAAACAAACAACATTAATTAATAGACAAATTGTTCATTTGGAATGCGAATCAACATAATGCTAATGTAGTTGAGCAACCGATGCAAAGCATCCACTCTGGACACGGTCTAACTGTTGGTCGCGACGCTCATTTACCGGACAGGGCCTAAGTCTCACCACAATTTTAAGGCTGAACATGTGTCTAAGGTGTTTCTGATCACTCATATGATGCTTCGTTCATCTTCAATTTAATATTTGGGGTCCTGCCTCAGTTTGATCACATGCATCATTCACTCCTTGCAACTGACTGCTGTGAACTCTTTTGAAAACAATGAATCCGAAATAAGATAAACGGTAGCATTTTGATGTGCTGTGATAGTATTCGCTTATTGGTGAGTCGGTGTTTATTATTGAAATGAATTATTGCTGCGACGGTATTCGCATTGAAATTTTAAAACTGAGATGAATTATTATTGAAAAAGTGCAATGCATTGAAATGATTCAAAAACACCATACCAATTGTGGATTATAACTAGATGCAAAATCAAGCCCCGCACTCATGTGATGCGCCAATTCCTGTCCGGGTAACATCGCCGGATAATTCAACATACCACCAGCTGCCGATGAACCGGCCGCCAACATTCCATACTGATTTGCAGCTGAAATCTTCGATTGTTTCAAAAAGATTCTTCGCTATATTTCCAATTATTTAATGCATAAAATTTCATTTTTAACAATGGCGCGAAGTTCGATTATTTTAATTTCAATTCGCCTATATCTTTTTCCATCCCAATTCACTTCCAAGCATACCACAAATGGTACTTCGTTATTTCAAAGCACTGATATTGCACAAAATCAACTCCTTCTAATAATTCTCCGTGTGGAACATAAATTAACAATTATAAGAAGTGAACGCGGAATAACTCACCATGAGCTGCTTTCTTCGCCGCATACATATTCGCTTCTTCCTGTGCTTTTGCAATATTTTTCTTGTAACGAATTCGTTTGTTACCGAACCAATTGGAAACCTTTAATTTGGCATTGATGAATGAAGCGAACATTGAAAAAGAAATACCTTTTGTGGATTATTCTTTATTCCAGCTTGACACAGTCATGTTTTAAAGTAGAACGAACTCACTGCCGTAAGTCCTCACTTTTATGGTGTTTACAAACGTACCCTCACTCGGTTCTATTACACTCACACATTATTGCATCCATTTTCAAAATTACCCAAAACAGCGCCTATTGAAATTGAAATAAGACCTGTGAGACAGTGATCTGGCATTGTCTTGCCAATTCCTCTTTGGCTTCTTCAGATGGATACGGATTACTCAAATGTGAATAGAAGTATTCATTCAGCACTTCTGTGGCTTGCTTACTGAAGTTACGTCGCTTCCGCCTTAAATAAAACAAATATGAGACGATTCACTCCACTTCACTTCAAAACGAAATAGAAATGAAGTCTATAACACCGAATAGAAACATGCACATAATTTCAAATGTGAAACATTCAAATACCTTGCGTCAAGGAAGCGAGATCGCAATATCATTACCGCTTCGCAAGTTGACTGCTTTAACTGCACCTTAAATGGGATGACTATATAAACGAGTCGATGTCACTTCTGTTACCTCATTTTCCAAGAAGGAAATTTGAACGCTGAGAGAACAAGAATGCAAAAGTTTCATAAAATTGCAATTTGTGGCAAAAACATGAACTGGAGACAAAAAAGCCAAAAAAAAGAACATTAAGGTTTGAAATAACAAACTTGTATGCCAGAGAATTTCTTTTGAATGATGGCCACCATGCGTTCGATTTCTTTGTTGGCAATCGGCCTTGTACGGCTTTGTTCTCGTAACAGTGAAACAACGTGCTGTGTAAACTCTTGGCATGCCTGTAGTTAGTCACTTTCTAATGAATCCATTACAAATTTGCAACCTCAAGAGATAAGAAAACAACAACAGAACTGAAACTCTGCATAGAGCATTGCATTCATTCAATAATAATCTTGAGAAGCGAATGCAACCTCTGAAATGAGTGTGCACAAATGAAGATTTAAGTGTGCACGACATTTAAGTGAATCAGCAAGTAAATGTCAGCAACATTTTTGTATCATCACCATTAAAAACGACGTAATAACGCAAACGGAATACCTCTTCATATTTACGCAATTCCTCGTTATAAACAATTCGTATTTGTGTCAATTTCTGACGATAGTCGGCCTGATCTCCGCCACTCGCGTCACCGCCACCTCCTTGGATCGCACCACCTTTATCTGGTCCAGCAACACCTTCAGCTACCTGCAAAGAACCAAACTTAGTTCGTCACTATTTCAGTTCAACTCATCTTCATACTTCAATCCCCATTTTCAACTCGTGATCAAATGTGCAACAAAACTGGCAATTAAACAATACAAAACTTAAACATCATCCATTCAAAGAAACAAGCAAATTCACCAGCATATTATCTAATCGCATTAATTGTGGATCTTCTGGTGTTTCTTCCTGGCCGCCACGTATCGACAGAGCTTTAATATGAGAAACATGACGTTTTGTATGTTGATCAAGTAACGAATTGAATGAATTTTTTCCTTAGCTGATAAAATTATAAAATCGAATTGAAAATTTTAAAAAATTTACAGTGTCAACAGTTCTATGACATCAAGAAAAACTACCATTAGTCAACATGACGTCGCTGCTATTAAATTTGAAAATAAAAGTAAATTAGAACTGAAGTACATTATCCATACCAGTTTTTTCCTTAATCTCACACAGCACCTCGAACAAAGCACTTTTCATTCGATGCGTTTGTAACTGTTGTTTTCTGAAACAGTTCGCGGGATGATTTACTATCAGTTGTTTTAATGAGTAAATACGATAAATGATTAAAATTAAAAGGATAACTTATGGGATAAAAGGACAATGAATTTCTCTGCAATCATCTCAGTACAATTACAAATTTTACTTTTGCCGTAATCATGAATTCAGTGAACCACCAAGTAAAATACTGGATAATGAACACGACCGAAATTAAACAGTGAACTTAGAACTGAAATACTAAAATAATAAAATTATGAGCGAAAAAAATGAACAATTCCGAGATTAATGCACACAACCTCTGTTGGGTATGATCGTCAAGCGTTTGTTCCGAGATGTTCATCAGTTGCGATAAAAGATCATTCAGCGATGTGGCTGGAGGCAACTCAGCCATTTTTTCATTTACCATTTATGATAGCTTCTTTGTATTCAAGTCGTCTTATCGTTTATCAGCACTTCAGAGCACTTTATCAATCGTTAACACCTTCAATCACATCACATACACACAAACAACAATAATATAACCAATCCCCAACGACCCATAAAGATATAATTTGCAAGCATTCCGGTTTAGAGCAAACATTCAGCGTGGATGAATACACCCCTCCCCCTCCCCCCCCCCGCAATCCCCTCCTAGTCCCTAACAAATGACAAACGAAAAATCTACAAAGAATACTAAGAGACAGCAGAGTAAATTATAAACGATGCAGTGCATTTGCACACGCGCACGACAAGCACGCGTAGTGTATTGAGTATTGAGACGGCTCGATCGTTGGCCTTTGTTGTTTGTGGTTGGTGTGGCTGTTGATATTGTTGTATTGCCCTATCTCTTGTCGCTTTATGCCAAAAGTACAGTGCTACCGTAACGATGCAGCTTATTGTAAGAGATTGTTTAGCATCTCTGAAAGGGGCACGGAGTCTTGTTCAAGGCACGAGGTGAGCGGGGAGTGCGACTGCGGTTCAAGTGTCAAGCTGAAATGACAGACTGCAGGAAACAGAACGAAACTTGTTCACTTGGAAACTTTTATTTCGTTGATATGCTCCAGGGAAAAATCCCTCTGTATTCGTCACGGCTAGCATTTATAAATCAGCTGTCTGTCTCTGTCTCTCGACAGCATCCATCCAGAACAGGAACGTGTTTCGAATAAGGCGATGAGCTAATTGTCGTATGTTCAGAAACTTTCGGTTTTCATTCATCAACTCATTGTCAATTTGATAGCAAACATTCGCAATAGAGAAATGCGTAATTTTTTGAATACTATTTTTATGGTTTCCATCCATTTTTGCGTTGTGCTAAGCACATGTGAAGCGGCGATTGCGTTACCTCTGAAGACTGCATTCCCGCGTTGTTCTTCAATTTTTTTGCGCAATTTTCGCTTGAAGTGTTGTTATCTGTTCAGTGGTTCGTAACTGTCTTTCATTTCCATTACACGCAGCATTCAACTTCTCAGTCGCTGATCAAACTCGTGTTTTGTGAGCAATTGACCTTGTTGATGTATTTATTATCCATTTTCCTGCCGAAACTTTCAAGTTCTAAGCAATCTTTGAAGCGGAACGATCGTGCAGCTGCTTCTTGCCAATCGTTGGCATATTCGCAGCGCTCTATGTGATGCCGTCATAAATTTGCTTCGTGTCGGATGATAAGGAAAATTAATTGAATTGTGTGCAGATGATAGGTTTAAATTGGACGTTTAATTGATTGGTTTGAAGTTAATAACGAATGATTGAAGGACTGCTGAAAAGAGTTGTTGATGATAAATGGATAGCGGTTACTGGAATTGTGTATCGGGGAGGGGAGAACGATGGATGATGCATACACAGAGCCATAGATATGAGCATTGTAGCATTATCGCATCGGCTTATATTCATTATTTGTCTGTTTCACTCTCTCTGCTCACTGCACTCTACATACGTTTATTGACAGCAGCAGCAGTAACCCATCCTTATTTCATTTCATCCGAATTGAAAGCAGAGACAGATGGACGGACGGACGGATGGATGTCTGAGTTAGAAAAGAGCATCTGTACATTTGAAATATTTATTATTATAGCTTATCTTCTTTTCGTGTTTATCAACTTTATTTTTACTCGAACGATGATCTTCGAAAACATTTTTGCTACCTTATCATTTTGGGATCATGTATTCACAAACTTGTCTTATTGATAGTAATTCTTTTATTTGTGTCTTTTCATTTCACGCGACCGATTTGCTCATTATCTGATTATTAATATTTACACACAAGTGTAAATAAATGATTAATTTTTACATTGATGTTTGCATACGGAATGTAAATTTATTTCATTTGTCACTTTTTCCTCTCGTAAAGATCGTTTAACTTTGGTGCATTGTAATGAAGTGCTTGTAACTGAGAGCAATAAACGAAAATTGCTCGTTGTTGTTATAATGATAGGTTATTTTATGGCAGTATTTATGATCGTCATTACTGATATGATTGCTGCTGTTGTTGTTGTTAGTTCGGATTTGCAAGTAATTTGGAAGCAGTAAAGATTGTACTATAAAAGTGATATGTAGATGACGACATTAGAAGCGCAAACGCGTAATGCGATCGAAGAAGTGCATGGACAAGTGTTTGAAGTAGGCCCGAGATATGTAAATCTTTCGTACATTGGTGAAGGTGCTTATGGAATGGTTGTGTTAGTTTTTGCTTTGCTTTGTTCGGTTATTTGAGCTGATCATATTGAAGCTTCGAATTTGCAGTCTTGCTTTTTGGAAGTGGAATGTTCATTTTCGGTTCGAAAATTATGATTGTTTGCATTTTAAAGTACGAGTTTTTTCGATCAAATTATGACTCATAATGGGCTCTGGTTTTTATTTCGTTAATTTGTCGAGTTGAATCTATTTGCGTGCCGGTTTGGAAATTTGCTTTTGCATCTTGTATCTTGTGCAGTATTTCCATGTTGTTTCGTTTGAATATTATGTGGATAATATTCTTCAAATACAAGTTCAATATTGTTCCGTAAGAAGTAATATGATGTGAATGAAAGATCAACAATTCAGATCTGCATTAGATGTTGAAACACGTGAACGAGTGGCAATAAAAAAGATTTCACCATTCGAACATCAAACATTTTGTCAACGAACACTTCGCGAAATCAAAATTCTCACACGATTCAAACATGAAAATGTTCGTATATCTTCAGTTTTATTGCGAGAATCTTCGTATTCCTCACATATGGAATATATATTGTACAACTTAATTGGTTTTTCGTCTCATCTAGTTTTGTGATAGTAGCAATTTCGTTTTCTTGCATCAGTGAGTCTTTGAAAAACATCATCATTTCTGTATCGATTGTTATTTTTTAGATTATCAACATACAAGAAATAATTCGGGCACCGAGTGTTGAGCAGATGAAAGATATGTATGTTTTAATGGAGCATTTCAACATTTCAGTTCAATTAGAAATGAATTTCTGATTGGTTGGAGTCGAAAAAAAAATCATTCGGAAAGGTTCTTTAAATGAAGATTGCATCTGGGATGTATTGGTTGATGTTGCTAGAAAACTGCTCGTCAATCGTTTTTAGTTAGATGAAATTACATTTTCCATTTTTTTTTTTGCAATTCAGTACATATGGTTAATTTAATCATTGATGTAAAATTTCAGCTATCTGGTTCAATGTTTAATGGAAACAGATTTGTATAAACTGCTAAAAACACAAAAACTATCGAATGATCATATTTGCTATTTTCTTTATCAGATTTTGCGTGGCCTCAAATATATTCATTCTGCTAATGTAATACATCGTGATCTCAAGCCGTCCAATTTGCTCTTGAATACCACTTGTGACCTCAAAGTATGCATTCCATTTAAGTTTATTCAGTAAATGCATCCGTAAAAGCAATTCTGTGATTATGTCACTTTTTAGAATTCGCATCTGTTATATTCTTTTATGGAACAGCAAAATTTTCGTTAAGTTATCTCACTCTTAGTTTAGGCGCTCTCGTTTAAAAGCTCTTAAATGAAAGGAGTATCTGGTTTCAGATATCATAAATTGCAAATTGCTGTGTCTGAAATAACGTTTTAAACACTCTTTTAATGGATCTTCGAAATCGAGATATTGCAGCAGTGTTGACATTGCAAATTCTAGATCTTAGAATATATGTGTCTGTTGCTATCCCTAAGCTTTGATGTTTATATTTTGTAGATTTGTGACTTTGGTTTAGCACGAGTGACCGATCCAGGTCATGATCATACTGGCTTCTTAACAGAATACGTGGCTACCAGGTATTACTTTTATTTTATTTCTTTAATATTCTCATTTTTGATGTCCTATTCTCTCATTCAGAATGGAGTTGGTCCTGTGCATATTGCTTGATTGTCTATATTAAAATTGAATTGTTTCATTGGTAACCCACAAGAAAGGATCTTGACAATCAACATTCATACTTTATATTGGTTTGAAAAATTATTCCAGTAGCATTGAAACAGTTCATTAAGAATTCAAGTTCAAGAAAATCCAATTTAACAGCGTATTTTGTTGTCACAATTCAGTATTCTTTATTCAGTATGTAAATTTCTTGATAACTGAAATGAAGTAAATGAATGTCCCTGTTGTCATATCGAAAAATTGAATCATCTCTTGGCTATTTCTTGATGCTAGCAATAATTCCATATCGCATTTATTTACTGATGAAAAAATGAGTATCTCGCATTTGAATATGTGCATAAATTTTCACATAATGAGTTTTAATTTTTTTNTTTTTTTATTACTGTAGACTTTCTTTTCTAATCAAAATATTGTCTTCATTTTGCATTGCATTGAGGAAGTTTATCGTATTGTTTGTATGAAATTTTGTTTACATAGAATCTATCAGATGACAAATGAAGAGGAACGTGTCTGCATGTATTTATTTGTATATTGCGTGCATAGAATGAATTTAAAATGCATTAATCAGTGAGTGCGTCTGGTGAATGCTTTGTGAATGATAGAAAGGACATTTTATTGTTGAACTCAAATTGAAATACAAAATTAATGTTGATTGTGTCGTTGATATTTCACCAGCAAACTTGCAATCAAAGCGTTGATATTAAGAATCGGAATTGAAAGAGAATATCTACTCATTCGTTTATGTCGCTAATAAACGATAATCCCTAAATGAGTTCTGCAGATGGTATCGTGCACCCGAGATAATGTTGAATTCGAAAGGGTACACGAAATCAATTGATGTTTGGTCAGTTGGATGTATTCTGGCTGAAATGCTGAACAATCGACCGCTGTTCCCCGGCAAGCATTACCTGGACCAACTTAATCTTATCCTCGCCGTAATCGGATCACCAAGTCAAGAGGATTTGCAGTGTATCATTAATGAGAAGGTTTCTTTTTCGACCAGTTGATTTCGTTTTTTCCAAATGAATCGTTTTGAAATGAATGATTCAGTTCGGTGTTGATTCACCAAAAATTTTTTGCTGTTCATTCATGTGCAAATAAATGAGAGTCACATTTAAGGCTCGTTCTTACTTGCTATCATTACCTCATAAAGTCAAACAACCATGGCTGAGAATGTACCCATCAGCTGATCCACGTGCACTGGATCTCCTTGATAAGATGTTGACGTTCAATCCGAACAAACGAATCAATATCGAGGACGCGCTCGCACATCCTTATCTCGAGCAATATTATGACCCTAATGATGAGGTTATCACTGTAATTATTGAACAGTATCTTTGGCTGTTCAAGCAATTTGTAATTTATCAAATGCCACTGAAGTTCATAATCTAAAATGCACATTTTATCTCGAATATATTTATGTTTATCGATCATTTTCATTAATGACTGCGAATATTGCTTACAAATAATTTCAATGAATTAATTTCAATGACAACAACGATCATTTTTCAGCCGGTCTGTGAAGAGCCATTTACATTAGAGATGGAATTGGATGATTTACCAAAAGAAACGTTAAAAGAATTGATATTTCAAGAAACCGAAAGTCATTACAAACGAATGCAAGAAGCGAAATTGCAGCAACAGCAACAGTTAACAGAAGCACCTCAGCAACAATAGTTTGAAATGCCATTTTTATTTAATTTTGTAATTGTTTGAGTGCATTCATTCTATCAACATTCCTCATTTTAGTGATCAATAAAGAGCATTTAGGGTGTGTTGCAAGAAATTAGGTTTAATTAACATTTGCAATTCATTTTTAGGTGTGATCATTCGAAAAGTGAAAATTTCATCGGCGTTACTTTTTCTGTGAGTAATGAAATTGAAAATGGTGTAAATATCGTAATGAAGGAATTACATGTCATCCAGTTAAGCTTTCACCTCATAGTTTTATTTCGTGCCGGAGTAAGCAATGAGATATCGTTTGAGTCATTTGTGAGTGGTCGTTTAATGTTATTTGCGTAATTATGCTCTGAGTTTGTTCGAAATGACTGAAATTTCTGCAACGGACGAAGGTCATCTGCTGCAGCAGTTATGTTTCATTTGAGTTTTCGTTTCTTCATTTCTTAGTGGTCATTACTTTGAAAGTATTAAAGTCTTTAGTTGGGAGTATACAATGTTTTTGCCTTGTAACGCTTTCAATTCCATTTCTTCTCTTCATGTTTTAAGTTACATTTTTATGGAGTTTTAGAGTTAACGCATGTTCTGATTTCTGAGTGGTGTACAATGGAATGTTAATTTTTTTCGGTCGATCATTTCAGTTTTCTATTTTTGACTCCATTTTTGAACTTTCCATTTTTAGATTTATGACAATTCGTTCATTGCATTAATGTATTTTTGTTGTTCTTGTCTGTAAAAGAGTGCTTGTTGCGATTGATACGATATGATGTATGTTGAAAATGTGATATGTTCGTTGTTTTCTCCATTCTGCTTTCTGTTTTTATTTTGATTATCGTAGTAACGGTTTCAAACTAAATAGACAAAGCACAGCCCTGCAGTTTTTTGAGTCCCTGAATTCTCTCGAAATATCATATCTTACCTCATTTCGTCCCATCCTCCGACCACTTTTTTAATTTCTGCTCCCTTTTTTCTTTTATCATTACCACCACAAAAGCCATTCAAAATGATAGAATCTTGTTTAGGAAAAGTTGTTTTTCGTCGGTTTTATGACGAATTTTGTTTGGATATTTCAACTGTGGAAGCATCAGACTTCAATAGAGCAAAAATACAGCAAGATCACTTTATGTCATGAATGGTTTCGTATTTACATTCAAAAAATATTTTCTAATTTGCAGTACAATCGCCAGTTCACCTTGTGTTGTTCAAGAGTGATGATAGTGAGTCTTATTGTGTTTTTTCCGTGTTATATCAAAATATTTTGTATATTTAGTTGTGTTGTTCAACTATAAGAAGCTGTGAATATACCCTACTCACATTGTATGAGTTGAATCATAAGTATAGTGGAATCACCACACATCTTTGTATGTTCATGAAAGAATGTTCCAATATGGTTTCGATTTTGTCCCTTTTTGTTGGATTATTTTTAAAGAACTTGTTATTTGGCATGTAACGCTTATATATGCTTATTAACCATTTTCTGACTTGGGATTACGATCATAAAAAAAGGATCGCTTCAGAAGAGCATTTGAATTTTCCGTTTTTAACAGGTTATTCTAGAGCTTATGATTGTGTTGCAGCAAGTGCATTTCAAATGACTTTGTTTGAGCAGATGAATCACGTAAAATTGTTTGCGATGAAAACAGATGTTCAAAATTTAATTTACGCTCGTTTTCGTTTGATGTAAAATGATTTGATGTAAAATCATTGGCTTTTGTGTTGAATTATATTTGCATTTGTTTTCGTCTCATTGTAAATTACTTGTATTGTCGGTTGCACATATCGATTACTTGATAATTGAAGGTTTTAGATGTGATTTATTTCTTTCTTTCACTGTCATTTTTGTGTGATTTTTTCTGTTACTATTTTAATTTGTTCTTGCGCTTAAGATTCATTTGTACGTCAGGAATTGCTAATCTGAGAGTGGCTGTTCAGAAGTTTAATTTTGAGAGAATACCATTTCTAATTTTCGAGTTTCCGAAGAAACCCAAAGAAAGATCGCTTTTCACGTTCGATTGATGCCTAACGATTGAATTTCATCTCACTTTCCTCCCTTGGGACATCGTCTTAGCCTTTGATTGTAAGCAGAACGTAATTTGTTGGTTGAATTGATATGTTTCTTAGGATCTGAACACTTACTTTTTGCAGAAATTGCATTCTTTCGATTTTATGTCAGATATATTGGATTCCCAATTAGTATGCATATATTTATACAGCAGTTTTTTCAAAAATATTTATTCTGCTATAGAGAATTTTTCGGACAAAAAACACATTCAGCGTGGCTGACATTGTTTTCTGGTCATTTTTTTCTGGTTAATTGCCATGTTATAAGATTTCATTTATATATCAATCAGTTATATTTGTTCGAGGTTTACATTAATATTGTTTCGTTTATAACTTGATTGAGTCAGTATAGTTTGCTGTTCTGGTGCACTTTTCCGGTTTCAGTTCTATTGCCTCCAGTCCCAATTTCCGAATGTTCAAATGTTGAGAAGCTTTTGCTGTTACTCAATCGTCGTCATCAACGTTATTTACTTGTATTATATTAAGTGAGTGAATGTGAATCATTTATGAAATGATAATGGAAATAAATGTTTATGAAATGATAACGGATATGAATACGAACCTATCAGGGTTTTGTTGGAACAACGAATGATAACAACTGACATCTAGCGATGCGTTTCAATTATGAAATGACTCTGAAAATCGCTTCCTCCTAACAAAAGTTCAACGTTGAGAAGAAGTATCTGAAGCATAACAACCATTATTGCAATTGCACTTCCCCTCAACAACCGTTTCATCACTGCATCTTTACTATCTAGTACACTAGTGTTCCTATACATTTCACCGAAGTACAGACATGTCTATTCATATTTACCTGTACCTCTCACTAAAATCATTTCCAGATACTTTGATTGAATTCAGTAGTCCATTTGCTGTGAAAATGAAAGAAGTTTCACGCTTATTTTATTTAAAAATTTGTACATTCATAACGGAACATTAAATATCCGCATAACAATTACTCTCATATTGCACATGAGTTGGGATGCACATTAACACTCATCGTCAGATTTGCAAGAGAAACATTAAAAGAAAGCAAGTGAAAATATGCTAAAAATAACAGTGACATCAATGTCAACCTTTAAAAATACACTATCATTCTAATATCACTGAGTTCTATTCGCTTACCTACAAATGTCCTTTACAACCCGTGCTGATTAGGACATAAACATTGTATCTTAATTTCTTTCAATGTTTTATCTTCATTTTTTGAAATGTTTTATAATTTTTAAATTGCATTTTTGGTTAAGGCTTTTGGCTGCTGTCTGACTATTCACGTAGTATTCTAATAATTTCAATATTATGAACCCGATGAATTATTATCGTTATTATTATCAGTATGATAGTAGAGTATTCGTAATGCTACGTGATAATAACAAACTTGAATAACTCTTCCGCAATGAATGTCTAAATATCTAAATTACTGTTTACAGTATTGATAAAATCCGTTTATAAAAGTAATCCGTTTAATCTTTAACAGTGGGATGGTCTCGAATTTGAACTATCCAAAAAAATTGAATGCGAAAAAAAANAAAAAAAACGATAAATTGAGAACGTTATGTCAGTGATAAACGACAATCGGTCGTAGCGTGACCAAAAGGAGGAGAAACGATCGAATGCATTTCGAACGTCTTCAGCAAAATGTGACAACGCAATATTCTCATTTGTGATTTAAAATATAATGTCATCATACCTCTAGCGCACTACTGCACTTTTATTGTCAATCAAAAACGTGGCACATTATTATGCCTATGCCCTCAGAAGTACAAGTAGAGTACGAAAAAGTACATCACTTCTTCGATACAAATAAAATTTCATGAAAATTAATCAGATCATCAACATCCATAATATGAATCAAAACAATGAATCATTCAAATACAAGATGAGAACTGGATTGTATCAAGATGGTATTGGTCAGTTGCCAGTATTATTAACGTTATCAATAAATGCACGATCAGAGATGCCAATGACCAGTTTTGGATACAAACTATTGATAAACACAAAAATTTCGAATGGTTACTATCATAATTCATTCACGAACTTATTCACAAAATTAAAAGTTTCTGTTAATGAAAATTGCAGAAAATGAAGTGCCGCTTCACGATCGACATCCTTATAATTATCATTGTCACCATCACCTCTCCTAATCAACGCTGTCCAATCAGCTAATTGTTTCTGTAATGTTTCTAAAACCTTTAATTTCACGTCTTTCAATAAACTTTTATTGATACGGAATAATGCTTGATACTGTGCTAAAACAAGAACGGCCGTATAGAAGTGTGTAGATAGATGTAATTCAGGATAGCGTATATCCGCAAGATCAGCCCAAATAAAGCCCAATTCATCCGCGAACACGGGATATTTCCTCAACCGAAAACGGATCAAGTCAATGAGCCATCCCAATATTTGACTTTCCATTACCAACCTAAATCATTCAACGATCATTCGAAATAAAGTCAAAAAATTAAAAATCCCTTCTGGATATTTATTCGTGAACTCAGAAACATTTCCTAAATGAGTCATAATCGAATAATTTCATGCGTTGGAAAAAAGTGAAATTTGATTTTACATGAAAATAAAAACGAAAACTTCAAAAGATCACTTTATTTTATTGAATTTGACAAGTCGAATAAGTTGGCGTACAATGATCAACTGAGCGACTGGCTCGAAACGTTCCAATGAGTCAACAAAACTTTTCACACATTTTTCATGTAATCTCTCATTTATGATCACCTTTTCACATAAACAAATCAATCCACTAAAAAAGTCCTAAAAGCATTTCTTTATCATAATCACATTGCTATTGTTGACACCCGATCGAAAATGTGCTTTTATTTGTACTCTGTGTATTGTACTGAATCAGAATGCAAAAGTCATTAACAGAATTATCGGAATGGTTGAACGAAAGAAGAATAAATGATCATAAACCATGAACAACGGCAACTGATGTCTCGATAAAGAGCGTTCAGGGATAGCAGGAATGAATCCTTGAAGGATGTCGATTATCAACGAGATATTGTTTGCGTTTGATAAACATGCTGTTGTATTGCTCAGTAATGAACGCTTCAATGCTGGCAAACACAATTCGAAGCGGTATTCAGGTGAATAAACGAGTGATATTAATGGCTTTGTGTTGCTGATGTTATTCTGTGAATTCGCAATTAATACGCAACTGCTAATCGGATTTTGTCCGAGTGCAGAATACAGCTCAGCAGATGCGTCAATAAGCGAATCAAGTTCAGCATTCCCGTTTCGATTCAATAAACAAGACAACACTTCATTCAATAATATTTCTATTTGATTCGCATCCTTACATTCACACAATCTGAAGGAACACTCATCAGTACTGTTCTACGATCCACGCATGTGCAACATCTAATATGTGATATTCAATTACATTATGATATATGGAAAGTAAAATAGCAAATTAATATGAAATATCGCTACGGAAATGTTTCAAATCCATATGCTACTCTCTGTAATAATGCAAATATGAAAACAATAAATTCAAAATAGCAACATTAAAAAGAGAAGTGATTAAAAATGAACAAACTCACTTAAAAAGCCTAATGAAAAGGTGACAAGCATTCGTGATGCATTCACGCGAAATATCCTCATTAAATAACTGCTTCTGAACATGCTTCTTTAGAAAAGATCGTGGAATATCATCTCTCAACTCTTCTTTACACCTACAATCGTAGTCATGCAATCTAATGTCAGTCAGTTATAAGACATTCCCATAATAACAGGATGAATTCCACTATAAACTGTCAATTACTTATATCAGATTAGATATGAAAATGTCCGAATATTTTAATTGCAAACAGTCGTACAGTAAGATAAGAATGAAGTGAACATGGTCGGAAGAACCGTTCAATTCAACAGCATATAAGAAATCCAAATTGGAGAAGAAGGCATTGCTTGAATCGGATTTATTTAAGTTACTCAGATTTGGACCAAATGAGTTAACCAGATTCAAGTTTGGACCAAATGAGCTAATTATAAAAGTGGGATGCTTACTTGCAGTTTAGTTCAGGTAATATATCGATCAATAATTTGATTACTAATTGAGCTGCATTTATTGTTTGCATAGATTCGTATGCATCCATGAATGCAATATACCTTTAAAAAAAGTCTTTCGGAACAAAAATTACTTTCACCTTTATGCGAAAAATCTGATTTTTAAGCAATATTTAATATCTATGAAATAATGCTTTTCTCTTTTATCTTTTATTCACATAAAAATTCAAAAACGAAAAGATCTACTCATGTAAATTCTTGTGAGTTTGTCTCTTTTTATGATTTCATGAGTTTCCACAACAAACATCAAAATTCAATGAAAAAGATGATAGAATAAAATTTTCGAACGCAAAAACTAACAAACATTTCTTTCACTTTAACACCAGAATTTTCTACTATATACAGAATCGAGTCAGTCAATAATTCGACATTCTCTCCTGCATCAACCAGTTCGTCATATCTAGTCACTAAAGCGCGAAATAGATCCATGAATATAGTGTCCAATGTACGACAATTAGCTTTAGTCACCAACTCTTTCAATTCTTCCAAACGATTCTTTTCTAGTGAATCCAAAGCGACAGCCAAAAAGTCCATACTTCTGAGTCTTGTGATGGCACATAAGCTGTAGCAGATAAATGTGTAGAAAAACGAGGATAAAACCTTAAAGTGACAGACCATTACATGGGATGCTGTTTTATCGCGCCACTGGATTGTTGGACAAGCTCAAAATCAAACGAACATAATCAGTGTTGATATTTTACATTCAAGCGGTTAGATATCCAAACACATTTTGCAACTTAAATGGATGCATAACTCCATAGGAAGATCGAATCGATCCTAGAATATTTAAACTTACAATTTCACTTTTCCAACAATTTCAACATACTTAACGATTCTTTACTGGGCTGTATTGCCACGAAACAAACTGCACACTCTCTTGATCAAACTACATTCAGAGGTTTTCCCCAATCGTAGGACTTGAATCGCATTGTTTCGGTCGTTCCAATTCAGAATTCTGTTTGGAATTTTTGATTCAATAATAATTTTGGAGTGCGATAGGCACATAACAAATCAGTCTGACAATATTTGACAACACAGACTTCGAAATTGTTCCGTCACAACCATTAAATATTGTATTGTGTTGTTAGCATATTCGTGTTTTTTTCAGAGCGGTAAGATTTATTCACAGAATTTACAAAGTGAGAAACGTTATTCACAAAATTAGAGCATTTGATGTTGAGATAGTTTGAATATTAGTTTTATTCGATGAGCACTTCGATACTGGCGTTTTGCTGAAAAAAAAAACAGATGAAATGGCGATTTATTTAGAACACCCTTTACGAACAAGAGAAAGAAAATACACGCTGGAATGAGATTACCACTCCCAAAAGTTGGGGCTTCAAGATCTTAAGTTCGATCGATAGCTCAGTTTTGATTATGTTTGAACTGATCTTGGCTGATGCTTGCCTAAGGTATTGATCGAGGTTTGCCTAGGGTCAAATGAGTAGTGACCATTTTGCAAATGATGCTTCCATATTAATTGATAGAAAATATTGACTGAATGTTTTAAGGTTAATTCAACTGAATATTCATTACTTTAGGTAAAGCTTAAGAATGAAATTGAAATATTCTCAATGATTGATTAATGAATACAAAAGCCGAAAATCTAGAAAAGAAACCGATCAGTAACGTTCTCATCAATAAAAGAATTTCTTACGTCTACAATTTTATTTGCCAGTAATTCCTTTTTGGAAGCCCTCTGAAAAAAGCAGTGAATTGAATCGACGATAAAATACACTTTTTTTTGAAAATGGAAGTGAAATTTTGAAAAGTTTCGAGAGCAGTGCACCAAATTATTTATTTTTGTTCAAGCGGAATCACAAATGTAGATTGCAAATTCCGTTATAAGATGAGATCGTGTTGAATGGGAATTTCATCAGTAAATGCACACCTCCATTCCCGTGAAGAGCCATTCCTTCTCTTTGCATCACTTTATCCAGCAGTTCTGCGGCCGGTTTATCTTCACCGTAGGAGATCGGTTTGCCGGTTTCTTCAAATTTCAAAAGCCCTTTGTTCATTGATTCGATTTGATGGGGAAGTTAATACACAAAAAATACGTGAAAGTTGATAAGTTATTGATAAATTATGATGGAATAACCTCCGGTGCCATGAATGCACTGTTCTTCACGTTTCTGAACATTTTCAATCATTTTTGCAGGTGTGAGCCGTTCTTCGTCATGTTTCGCTTTATCTTCTAAATTTGCGCTTTCATCGCATAATCTATGCACATTTTTGAGCAATACGGAAGTTAATTCCTACATTAAAAATTCCCACATCGTTCAATATTTCATGCTAGTTTAGTATTCAACTTCAACTAAATGAAATTTTTGCGCTCATTCTTTTGAAAAAAATTATTCTGTTTGTATTAGAGTGCAATCATCTGTAATTATTTTTCAATTATGAATTTACGAATCCTCACTGTGCAATGCTAAATTCGTTCCCTTCAAAACGATACAACAGTAGAATATGTCAATTGTGAACTCAATTAACTATCTGGAGAGCAACATGTCTATTATATTTTTAAACATCTAACCAGCTGGCCCTGACAACATTACGCTTGGATTCTTCCTGAAATATTCTTGCACGCTTCATTATTCGGCTAATTTCAACGCATAAATAAAACTCAATCAAAATAGAAATCATCGAAATATACGCAAAAAAATCGCTCTTCGTACATGTTGTTGACAAGCACCAGTAAAAAGAGTAAACAATTTCTGATTATTGCATGCTATCTTCACTAGATTCAATGTGCTGATCAATAAATATTGCTGCTCATGGAAGCAGAGGTTACGATCTGACCGTACTCATCCTAAAGGTGCGATCAGCCAAAAAAGGTAGACAACCACTGAAACTAAGTTCTCCCGTAAATTCAACAACACAAGCGCTGGATTTTGAAACTTTTTTTAGTATATTGAACAGAGAGAGATATATATCAACGTAGAGAGGAGCATATCAAATGATACAGAAGAATCTTGAGATCAGCCGCTTAAAAGAATTAATTAATGAACCACCTACAGTCGAGATTTTACTTGAAATGAACGCAATTAAAATGATCAGCCAATGAATCTGTTGATAATTACCGAGAATTTAAATAAATCAAAAATGCCTCAATTCCTTGCAAATATCATTGCGAATTTGGTTATGAGACGCACAACATTGATATTGATTTGATAAAACATTTGAACATTTGATAAAATATTTGACAACAACACCATTGATATTAGACATTGATGAGACTAAGATCGCACTCGACTTTTGTTCATGCAAAAGCTCATGCAGTCGACTATGAATCCGTGAGTTGCTATAATCATTTACCTCCGGGGGTACTGCTCCTGTTGGTTGCATCAACTGTGGGTGTGGCTAGTTATCGTAGTCATTTAACCCCAGGCATCGTAACAGTGCATTGGAACATACTTGCCCCCATACGGTGTTCTCATACTTTTTATTCACACCTTCTCATACTTTTATGCGGTATTCTGTCTGGATAATGTCGATCGTTCCGATGTATGCATGCACGGATAGTTTATATTATTCATTCAACAGTTTTGTTACAGTTGTTCTCGAGTATCTTATTGTTACAAAGCGATTTGCTCATCAGAGCAACTCGACTGCATAGGAATTAAAGATATTGAGCATCTCAATTGTATAAGTCGCCAATCGCGTGCATCTCTTCTTGATTCAGGCAGATTGTGATATAAATGTACAGCATCTTATCAAAGTAATCAGTTATCATTACTTAGAATAGACTATATGCTCTAGACTTCCCTTTGATGATACAATTTCAATGGTACAATGTCAAATAAATGATCAAAGATCAAAACTTTTTATAATGTTGTTTACTCAGTACATTGGAATTTCGCACTAGTCTTCTGAATGCACTCTGTCCAAAAACGTCAAACGATGGTGCATGCTTTCAACGCTTTAAACACGCACGTGTACACCTACGCACGCTCCCATCTGAAACGTGACAGTCGGGATTCATGAGACCTCAGCGTTTAATAATTAGAGGTATGCACAGAAAAAGCTGCCGTCCATGACTTCTGCTCAATTTTTTCCCTTGCGTTGAGTGTAGAGTGTGTCATCGAAAAAACCTTCTCGGTTTCTCCTCGGGTGCCGTGGGCAAGATTTTGTATCAAAACAGTACCTGGTTTGCTGATTTGGTAATTTGAAAATTGCAAGGAAATGAGCGATTACTATTACAAATACTATAATAAATCGGCTGGTTTCAGTGGTGTTTAGAAGGAGGTTGTTTTCATAGATATGAAGTGATTAAGTTTGAGATTGATTAGGATCACGGTGATTATTTATTAATACAAGGTGATAGTAGCAGTGGACAATTTGATGCAAAGATTTCATTCGCTAATTGCTATTCAGCGTCTCATAGACATTCTCACCATTAGTAGTATCATTGCTATTAAAAGTTGATGGAGCCCAAATGACGAGAAATTTATGAATGCATTGGCGTAGTCTTGATGGTGCTTCTTAGGTTTGTAAGCACGACAAAGCTTGCATGTTGTTATATAACATTTGCAATGTAAGATTAAATTAAATAATAATTTAGCACTGATTGTCCTTCTTCACATAAACAGATAAATGTGTGACCGCTTCTGATTTTTCAACAATTGATCTATAGTGATCAAATGCATATCAATGAGCACCTCAGCGCTAGTTGAGATAACTTTAATAAAACAGCAATAGCTTCTCAACTATGCCAAATCGCTCTCGAAAATACATTTTTCTGAATGCAGAGATTCTGCTCGATCGATTGGTGCAAAGAAATTGTTATGTTACCGGTTAAAGCTGAAGGTACGGTAGGCCTGAATGTGCCAACCCACATAGCATTACAAAAACTGCTATATCTCCTCGCAGAGTTGGAATTTCTCAGCAACCTTTTCATTTTTAGAAAAAAGAGATTCTGGTCAATCGAACAATGTATAAATAGTAATATGTTTACGGGCAAACCTGAGAAGACGGTTGGCTTGAATATATCAAACTTATATATATAAACTATTGCATTGCATCTATTGATCTATAGTGATCAAATGAATACCAATGAGCACCTCAGCGCTAGTTGAGATAGCTTTAACAAAACAGCAATAGCTCCTCAACTATGAAAAATCGCTCGACAAAATGAAATTTTTTCTGAATTCAGAGATTCTGCTCGATCGATTGGTGTAAAGAAATTGTTATGTTACCGGTTAAAGCTGA